CCCCCCCCCCCCCCCCCCTCCCCCCTCCTCTCTCGCTTTCTCTGTCCTGCTCGCTCTCCCTCTCCCCGAAGAAGAAGAAGAAGAAGAAAACACGCCATGTGCCCTTGCCACAGGTTGCGTGAGCAACAGCCTTCTGGGATTGGCGTGAGCAACAGCCACAATGTGGGGTGTGAACCGAAAGCGGGCCTGGTTGGTTCCCAAGAGTCATCCCTGAGAACGGACTATTCTGAGAAAAACGGCAACCAGTTTTTCGGAAAGAGCAGCAGGTGGCTGAAGCTCGAACACAGGGCAAGTATGGGACCACTGGTCCACCAGCTACCGCTGACATCAGCAGGATCGCGGCCAGATGGGACATCAACAGAATCAGGCAGCTAGGACTGCACTCCTTGCACTGAGCACACAGCGATCACGAAAGTCGTCAACGGAAACAGCCAACTTGTCAGGCAGTCAACAACCTGATCACTGCTCAGTCAATCCTCTGGAACCCAGAGTAATCAATGCTGGCAGGCGTTTTCCAGATACTTTCCTGATTTTTCTTCTAATTTTTCTGATTGTTTTCTGAATCATTCTGTAGAATCTGTACACAAGGGACGCTGGACCCGTTTTCCAGCAGGTGATGCTCCCCACCAATAGATGGAGCCTTTTCAACAAAAAAAAATCAAAAAAAAAAAAAAAGAAAAGAAAAGAAGTAAGCAAGCAAGCTTGTCTGGCAGTTAGACCAGCGAAGCCGCGCCGGATTGAGATGCAAGTCGTAACACTCAGAGACGAGGAGAACCAACCAGTCAGCAAAGACTGGAACTGAGAACAAGACGGGGTCAGAGGTCACATCTCAGATAACAACCGGATCTGGCGATTCAAGGAAGGCTTCTTGGATAAAAGTAGATGCGTCTACTACTAGTAGTAGGAAAAAACGACAAAGAAGGGCAGGAATGTAGCGCAACCACTAGAAAGAACTACAAGAGATATGGGGTAGAGGTGACTAAGTTTATTCGTCAAGTGTCACAGATATGTAGCGCAACCACTAGAAAGAACTACAACAGATATGGGGTAGAGGTGACTAAGTTTTTTCATCAAGTGTCACAGATATGTAGTGCAACCACTAGAAAGAACTACAACAGATATGGGGTAGAGGTGACGAAGTTTTTTCGTCAAGTGTCACAGATATGTGGTAGATCAGAATAGGTGGGGCATTATAAATCTGCGAATCAAGGCATGGATTCGCAATAGGAAGTCTTTCAGTCTCTTCCAAGAAACCTCTCAATGAGCATAGGGAGAGCGGCTCTAGTGAAATGCGTAGAGGTGTTTCTGCCTAAAGAGGTGCATAGTCGATCATTCTTCGTTCCTGTCGCACGAGAGTTCGGTGCGCACAGTTCTGTTTTTCTGAAGAACTTTTCGGAAGAAGATTTTTGAAAGAAACCTTCAAGTGTGGATGTGTTCGCCCAGCCTCAGGCCATACTCACACTAGCACCATCTTAAATGCATCTGACCGCATTTACAGCCAGATATGGATGTATGTGGCCGCAATCACGTCAAAAAATAAGTAAAAACGTCCTAGTGTGAGTATGCCCTCAACGATGGTGGGTCCTATCTGTCAATGCCGATGTGCCAATCCTGCCAACAGTCTGTGTGCTGAAGCAGCTGTCTCCCTTCCGTTCCCCTGTGCGCTCTCGCCCCCATTTTCCCACCACCTTCCCTGCCCCCCCGGCACCCCCGACCCCCCYTTCCCCTCTCTTAAACACAACGCAATCGGTGCTGTGGGACTACCGGTCCAGGGAGGGCATGGCGGAAAGTTGTCCTTGCTTCTTACAGGGCCTGGCAAAGAGATTCCAGGCCCCAGGGGCACTACACGAAAGTCCGCAGTTAGAGGGGCACGCCACAACTAAATGCCACTTTTGAGGGCACCGCACATTTTCCCTTTCCCTTCGATATGGGACGCTGGGCCCCGTTCCCAGCACGTGCTGCTCCCCATGAAAACTGCTCCCACGTAAAAGCATACCTTTTTTTTTTTTTTTTTTTTTTTTTTTTGAAAAACAAGGTATGCTTTTACGTGGGAGCAGTTTTCATTTTCACTAGCTTCCATTTGCACTACCTGGCAGGCAGCGCATTTTCACATGCGCCGCCCGCCCATAGTGTGGACCTGGTGGCTACTCTGTTCATCTTTTAGGGGCCCATTGGCCCATTCCCACTGAGCCTCCCCCAAGCCTATTCAGTTTATAGACTAAGGGCGTCGTTAGACACTCCTTGGGGACGTGAAATCCACAAGGACGCGCTCGTTCCACCTGTCCTTAGGGACGAAATTGAAAAAGAGATGTGAAAACGCCACAAGGAATTTTGCTTGTGGCGTCCTTGCGGGGTCAGCCAAAATCTCCTTATGCCCAAGGGACCTCGTAAGGTCCCTTGGAGCCCAAGGAACCGTGATTCACGGAGTGGCGAAGACATGTGTCGATGGAGAGTTTCGCTTCTTGGGTGATGCAGATGTGGTCCAACGACGTTAGCACGGACATCTCCACCCTCTAACGTCTACGTAGTCGCCCAACGGCTACTGTTGGCGGTGGGCCTCCATCAGGTGGCGTCGTTGTTTTATGCAGGCATCATGCGGTCTCCCACACTCGAGGAACGTCCGCAACGGTCGGGAAAATAGTCTTTCCTGGCAGCACCTTCAGTTCGTCCACGGAAGAGGTTTCTGCACGGGCGTCGTATTCCCACGCGTGTCGTCACGTGCTGCACGTTCGACAAGACTCTTGCCTTCTCCGCCGTCGTGTGCTAGATGTCCGAAAACAGACCTGGCATTGCTGCCCTCTCCACTGTGCAGTTCATGGCCAACCTGTACCGCAGGCTCCCTCTGCTGCTCCACATCGCAGTGCTGCTTCTGGTGGTCCCTCTGCTGCTCCCCAACGCTGTGCTGCTTCTCGTTGAAGTAGTCATCCGTGGCGTCGTCGCATTGTCGAAGGCCTTCCCACATCCCCCCCATCCTGCATTTGATCCACCACCTCGGTGTCACTTGTGGAATGAAGCCGCAACCCAACGTGTAGCACAGCTCAATGACAGCCTCTGAAGTTGCCATGTAGTCGGGGCCTATAACCGCAGCTTGCATCAGCATCCTTCTTCTACGTGCGCGCAACTTCTCCTCCATTCGTCCCAGCGCCCTTTCCTACTGACAATGAAGAACAACAGTTTACATGGCCACCACCACAGCTGCCCGCTCAAGCGGTGTCAATAGCGCACGTCCGCCCTCTTCGCCGTCGTCCATCGCCATCACCTCCGCAGGGATGGAGTCTCTCTGCTACTGTCTCGATCCTCGCACCCCAGAGACGTAACCCGCTCACCCCCCGAGGAAAGGTCCGAGAAGCTGCCACCTTTCCGTGGATGTCGTCCCCCTAGCGGAACTGCATGTGATGGTGCGGACGACATGGAGGAGAATCTCGACAACGATGGACGCACCCGGTGCATGCACGTACACTGACCGGGAGGTGGGCGGAAGGGACACCGCCGCTAAGGCCGATTCAGCCCTGCACCGTCTGCGCGCCGCAAGCTGAACGTCGTCGTCGTCACCACAGCCGTACTTCAAAAATTGAATTTCAAACGTAGAGGTCCCCCTTTTTCATTTTATTTTTCGTGGCCTGCCTCATGCCCTTTCCCACCGGACGTCGCTGGACCACGCCGTCTCCACACAGACAACAGACGCTGGACCACAGACACCCCCGCCCGCGGCCGCGTATTTTCGTACGAAAATGACCGCGGGCAGGCCACAAGGAAACATCCTTGCGGGACGTCCCCAAGGATGTGTGGAACGACGCAGCAAAAATCCCTTGTGAGCCACAAGGAAAATTCCTTGTGGCTCAAGTAACTTAAGGAGTGTCTAACGACGCCCTAAGCCACGCCACCACGGTACTCACCTACGCGTACAATCTACAGTGCAGGGGTAGTTAGAGTGGTGGTTTATTGAGGCGATAAGAGCATGTTTTCTTTCCTTTTTAAACCGGCCCTGCTGAGCTACTCACCAAACACGTAAAGTGGCGAGTGTATCTTCACCTAGAAGTTCGGAAGAAGATACTACCATTGGCAGTTGGTTTTGTCTTTCTCACATGTGGTGAATGGTCGAGGAAAACACAGCGAATGTATATATCTACTTCCTTTTCCTTTTGTTGTCTGATTCCATCAGGAATCTAAGGGCATACTCACTCTAGTGGGTTTTTTGGCTAAATCGCAAAATCCGCTATGCTGTTAGAGTCACACTAGGGTTTTCCGACCACCAAAGTTGCAAACAGGGTAGCATTTGTCAGCGGCCTGAGGGGCCACGGGGATGGGCATTTTGCTACCACCTCGAGAGGTGGTGGCAAATTCTCTTTTGGCCGTGACAAATTCTCTTTCGCCTTTTGGGAATTGTTAAAAGAAAATTTCCGCGCTTTCTGACCATGAGAGGCACCAATTTTGCAATTGCCAGAGAGCCCCGCTCCTGTCCTTTCTGATTTGCAACCCATGTGTGACCGGGCGGGGTATTATTTCAGCAAACATGGGAAATAAAATTCAGCAGATTTTGCTAGACTGCCACCGCTGTGTGAGTACGCCCTTAATCAGGTCTGTTTGTTTTTAACGGAGGCCTAAATTTTCAGACAATTTGTCATGCCGTTTATAACAAAACCCGAGGGTCATTTAAACCAAACTTGCCACCAATTGGTAGAATAGACACCATTGCATGGGTGTGGACCATTCAGCCACATGCACTCAGTGTGTACCTATTTTTTCTTTTAGGACAAAAAGACAAACAAAAGAAAGATCGACAGCCTTGAGGACCGACCATCCAACAGAATGGCCCCACGTAATCTAGAGTTACTTTTGCATCGAGAGTTAATTTTACATCAGGATTTGAACTCAGGTTGTTTATCAACAATTAGCCATATAGGTGTGTACCATTCAGCCACATGGCCTGGGTGTGTTGTGTACCTACTTTTTTACCGCAGAGGAATATGCTCCTGTCTTCATCTGAACAGAACGCCCGGTCATTATAGCCGTATTTGGTGCAACGTTCAGTCCAGATATGGCAATAGATACTGTGCACTCTACTCGGGCAAAGACGGTAGCCGATGAGTTTTTTGTTTTCTCCATCACGGAAAGATACCCACACGGTACTGTTAGTACATTGATCATGATTTCAAATCCTGATGGAATC